AAAGTCCAACAAAAAGACAAAAGCTTCAGCTGCAAAGAAAAGCAAGAAATAAAATGCATTTTTTAAATTAAAAGCCTTCAATTAATAATGGTGACTGTTAGATGAAGCAGTCTTTCTGCCAAGGATATTTTGATTTATTACATAAGATTTGACATAAAATGTTCATTAAAGTTATATAAATGTCATTGCAACTTGTAACAACCAATGAATTATACTCATAACTATCAGATACTTTATACTTTAAAATCTGGAGAATAAGTGCATATGCAAAAGTATGCAGAAGGTAAGCAAACAAGGGACTTCCTATCTTAGTTTATATTCAAAAATAAGCAACCAAAGGGCTTCCTGTATTTGTGGATAACAATAAGTGTATGTGTGAATATATATATATATATATATATATATATATATATATATATATATATATATATATATATATATATATATATATATATATATATCTGTGTGTGTCTTTGTGTATTTAAAACAAGACTGTCTAAGATGTAAAATTTGTTCCTTTGCTGATTGCTCTGTTCATAATTAAGTGATTGACACATTTCAGGTCATCTGCAAAACCTGTTCTGATTTTGTCATTTATATTTTGTGTAATCTTTTTTTCTCAATGCTGCTGTATATGGCATGCTAATTTTGCAAATATATAAAAAAAATTACTATGATTAATTTTACTATTGCAACTCACATTAAAAATAAGCATCAGTTACAGATAGAAAAGGGTATGTAGGTGAAATGAGGATCACTTGCAAATAAGAAAGGGTATGTAGGTGAAATGATCATCAATTACAGATAGAAAAGGGTATGTTGGTGACAATAAGCAAACCTTTGTAAATAGAAAAGGGTAGGTAGGTGACATGAGCATCAATTACAGATAAAAATCATATGTAGGAGAAAAGAACATTAATTACAGATAGAAAAGGGTATGTATGTGAGTGAATCTATTACATGTGGCACTAATAATGAGATCACAGTTGTTTTCTGTTATAGAAACCTGTACAGTTGATTTGCAGCAGCTCTTAAATTACTGAAAATTTCATAAGGTCTGGTAAATTTTTTGTTGACTTTGTCAGTTTTTTCTCACAGGACAGTTATTGTGATTATTAACATTGCATACAATTATTCTTCATTAATTGATAAGATACATAAGTCAGAAATGTGATTTTACATCTAGGTAAAATGTGATATCAGATTGATGACATCAATACATTATGATCACATCGTTTCAAACTATACGCAATGATTTGACAAATTAGCTACCTTAAACACCCATTGTTAATTTCAGATATTTGCAAGCCTTTTTCTCTTAGACTTTAAGATGAAATAAAAAACATTGTTGTTCTTTAATTCAGTACATTCTTATTTTTATGTTGTATTTTTAATTTTGTATTTTCATCATTTATAAAAATATGGTATTCCTCAAAACTTTGCTGTTAATTTTTTGCAAATATCCTTGGCACATACCTGTATTATTTTATTGTTGTAACTGAAAGTTTGTTGAACCAATAAACACTTACTAAAATGTTATAAATCTTTCTCATGTTTAGCCCACCTGGTTGTAAGGTCAGGTGAGCTAATGTTATATCCCTTGACCATAATGCATCATACTTCGTGTGAACTCTAATAAGTTCAAAATTGTTATTTACAACTTCATTTTATAAACTTCTTGCTTGATTTTACATAGAACATAGGGGCCCCGAGTGGTCTAAAGCGCTGACCATTACGGATCACTGCCACCTCACCTCTGTCTGCGTGAGTTCGAGTCCATGCTAATGTGGATAAGTGAGAAAGCCTGCCAGTAGCTTCTCGTGGGTCAGTGGTTCTTCCCTGAGTTTTCCAGGGTTCTTCCTCCACCATTAATACTGGCCGCCATGTATAGCCTATCTTGTGCTGAAAAATGACATTAAACCCTACAACAACAACAACATATAACATTCTGTCTTCAAGGCCTTTCAGATGTTCAGTAGATACTGATGTCATCTAAATTGACTACCATTATTAGTGTGGACTGTTCCATGTAAACATACATTGTACCCAGGAAAGGTAGTTTTTTTAAAAAGTATATGCCAAGGTACTTTAATTTCACAGAGTTTGTTTTAAAATAAGAAATTTTAAGTTGCATTTCTGGGTGAGTACCCCACATTAAAAGTGCCTTCCATGGGTCCCATGTATTTTTTTTATGGATCAGCCCTGATACAGGAATGTAAATCAAATCTTCAAATTTGATTCAGTAGAGTTTTAAGAAATTTGACAGCATTCTGACAAAGTCTTTGTTCAAATGATGCCACTGCATCAAAATTGGCCACCACTACTATAAATAGAAGAAACCCTGAACTGTCTTTTGTAAACTGCTTACAGAATTTGACAAAAAATATTCTGATACAGAAAAATTTCAAAATTTGTATAAATTATGCTGATCTGCCATTGGTTAAAAAAATTCAAAAGCATCCTGGCATAAAGACAGCCATTACCAAAAATTGAGAAATAAATTTTGAAAGACTTTTCAAAAACTGATCAGCAGAATTTAACTAAATTTGACAGAATTCGTTCTGGTATTAGGGGCTTTCAAATGTATGCAGCTGATGCCGATTATTCCTCAAATATGACCACTATGATTAAGAACAAAGAATCCTTTATACAACTTCTCAAAAGCCACTAAATAGAATTCAACATATTTGACAGAAAGTATTCTTGCTTGAAGAACACAAATGATGCCAGTTTGACATCAAATATGGCTGCCAAAACTAAAAATATAAAGCATTTAATAAGTTTAACTTGTTGTGTTGCATCGCTTGTAATGAATTCATAAGAGATGCATGCAACGTTTCAAAAGCCTCTTTATTAATTTGCACATGAAGCGTAAATCTGGCGACAAGGATTTTTTACTTTATTCAGATGATGCTGATCTGTCATCAAAAATCACCATCCTTGCTGAGATCAGAAAATATTTTTAAAAATAAATTCTGAAAACTGCTCAACAGAATTTTACTGCATGAAAGTCTTGTTCAGATCATGTCAGTCTACTTCCAAATATGGCTATCAGCACTCAATTATATCTAAAAAAAACTTTAAATGACTGCTTTTCAGAAACTGCTCTTTTGACAGAAAGCATTATAGCTTTACGTGCTTTGAAATTTATATAATTTATGCTGATTCTCTCCGAGACCCAACTTTAAAAATAGAAAAATCCTTTAGTTCACTTTTCATACACAGCTTATCAGAATCTGATAAAATCTTACAAAGTATCTTGTCATAACTTCTTGGCTAATCCACCATCATATGTGGTCGCTGCTATTAGAAGTAGTAGAAAGAAAACCCTGAACAGCTCTCAGAATGTTCATGATGAACAGGCTAAATTTTGAAAGATAAAATGTTCACATCAAGCAGTTCAGAATTTATACCAATAATGTCAATTTACCATTAAATATGGCCACTCTTACTTAAACTAGTGTTTATTTCCAAAATGCAAAAAGACTTCTATGATCTCAGAGTCAAGGGAGATAATACATTTAAAATGATAGCGATACCAGTCAAAATTCACCCTAAATGAATGAATAATTCTATTGAGCATTCTTTGAATGAATGGCAATGATTACTTGTAAATTTCATGAGCACTGTCATGATAAAATAAAGGTAAAATTAATTTTTGACAGCAAAATTAAATGAATAATTGTACAGGGGATCAGTAGTTTTTGTGAAACCTGGGAAATATAGGAATCAATTTTCTGATGATGTTGTCATCATTGGGGTAGATGGCAGGGTTAAGATTTTGCAGTTAGAAACTTTTATATATACAGTGATTATCCTTGAAGATTGTATTTATTTTGCAGGGTTCTACTCACCACAGTTAAAAAAAGGTCACAATGATCATGTTTTTATATGCTCCATGTTACAATTATTCCAACATTCTTTTATTTACATTTATGGAGCTCAATGACCCACATTTTGTGCCCAAAGTTATTCTGATAAGTTTTTGCTTTTAGCTCAGTTTCACCAGTGATGTATAATGAAACTGATTTTGGTGCATTCTACTAACTATAGGCAAATCTAGGTCACAGATAACTATTTTTCTTGCTCTTGTGATTCCATAATTTTGCATTATCTCCATATAAATTATTATTAATTTTGAGTATATAGTCAAAATTTCACGACAAATGCAATTATTTAAAAGCTGTATAAACGGCGGTATGCCCTGCGCAAGCTGACCATAAATTGAACTTGCATTTGGGAAATATAGTTTTTTTCAAACATAATGATCCAAACTGAGTAAAATATAATATAAAATATGAGATATTTTCAGGAAATCACATATTTATTTCAATCTTTGCTTTTTTTCTTTGTTGATACCTTAGAACCATAAGCAGGTAATACAATTTATTAAAAAGTAGATATGTAAATAGTACATGTAAACATATAGGTAGATAAGAAATTGTTAGAATGTAGATAAAGGTTGAAAATCAAAAAGCAGTTTAATTTTCTAGTTGTCTTGCTCAAGGCAAGTTGACTTATAAAATTTGTTAAAAAAAGAATCCTTGTTATACAGCTGAAAACTACATGAAGTTTTCTTTTTATTTATTACACAGCAGACCCACCTCATTAGCTACATCAACAATAATGAAAGATGGACTGAAATGATTTATTTATATTCACAACTGGAGGTTTTATGACCACTTGTTTAATTTGCCAAGCAGCAAGAATATATCTATCTCTTGCAATTATTACATAATTTCAGCGTGTAATAAACACTACTTGTTGCTATAATTTCAATATGTTGATCATAATCCTCCAAACGCTTGATCCTTATAGAGGAATGCCTTTTATTTTAAAACAGACCTGTTAAAAGAATTTGCATGAGCTATATTTTTAAGAATTAACACCTACTCACCTTAGTATCATTATCCTGACACCAGGCCAACCAGTCCTAACACCTCTTAATACTGAGCATCAAGCGAGGCTGCTGTTAGTACCATTTTTGTAAGTCTTTTGTATGACTCAACCAGGGATTGAACCTACAACCTCCTGCATCCGAAACGGACGCTCTAACCACTAGGCCACTGGAGCGGTTACATTATTATATCGTAATTTGTATAACCCCAATTGGGATTTCTGGGTCTCTGTGCAAACCTCAATGTAGATTATTTTTTTCACCCAATATATTCCTTTAAAGTTAAAAGAACTTTCTTTTTGCAATATAGTTTAGTACACTCCACACAAACAGTATTTATCACTCACTATTATTTCATCAAATTTATCTGTAGGTCATTCAGTCTTATAATTTTTTTTAATGAAAATCAGAATAACCATCTCAGTAGAACCCAACTATATTTACCATTTATACACCTTTATGCACAAACAGAAGCAACTTCACAGTTATAATTGTTATGTACTTAAGTATAGTGAAGACGTCAAAAGTCTCAGGCAAATGCTGTTTACATACAGCACATTAATATGAATATGTTAATGAAGGCTATGGCACTATCTGTCCATCTGAAGTATACAACTTTTACGCATGAAAAAATAACAAACGTTTGGTAGCATTGAGGTATTATCACATTTAACAGAAGGATGTTATACAAAATCAAGAATAAATAATTACTGTATGAGTGTGATTTAGATTTTTAAAGTAGCTTTAACAATTTTTCAGTCATACGCTATGATGTCTGTGTTGTAGCAGTCTATAGTGATGTCTTAGCACTGGGGAATCATGCCACAGACATGTAGTATGATGTCCCAGCCAATCATATTATTTTGACACTAGACTGACCAGTCCTTACACTAACCTCTTAATGTTGAACACCAAGCGAGGCAGCTGTTAGTACCATTTAAATAAGTCTTTGGTACAACATGCCACTTGGTTTAAAATGGTTTACATCACCAGTCACTTGAAACCTGCTGGCCCTAGCAGACACCGTAGTATATTATCTCCAACCGCAAATTTCACCGTGAAAATAACTCCTGCTTACATCCTCCCGATTTTGAGTGAAACCTTAGCGTGACTAACAAACATTAGTATTTTTTTAAAAAAAAAATCTTATTGTCCTACAGTTACACCAACATGGTACCAATCTATATAAACCAATTTAATACAATTGTCTGTTACTGTTTTACTTCTCCTTTTCCTCAGATATGGTCTGAACATACCTCCACATTTGTTTGTACCCTGCAACCAATTTAAAAAAGAAAAAGTACAAAATGAGATTACATTGTGATAAATACAACACAATGAGTTCCATACAGTTTTTCTTTGCTCTTGGCACTGCTATGGATAATAGTGGCAGCAGCATTCATGTAAAGAGATGCAGATATTTCTGTACTCCATAATGGTTTCTGTAAAAAGATAACAGAGTTGTTGATGGCAATACAAATACAATATTTAATGATGTATGATTTAAATAACAAAAAATATAGTGTTACATGCACGTATGAGTATTGGACAATCTAGCATAATTTGCATGAATCTATAAATGCAACAAGTACAAATACAAATATATGATCTTATCTTGTACAAGGATAAAAACAAAGCATCATTCACAATATATCACGTATTGAAAAGAAGGAGTTTTACACAACTACAAAACAAATGAACTATACACTCAGAATAGTGAACTGATATTTTACCCAAATAGTAAAATGATAATAAGGCGGATATCACAAGATATCTCTTCACCTCCTAAACAATGGGTATAACAAGACCCCAAAATTAGCCCACAATCTAAATATTACATGTATGGAGCAACATATAAACTCCCTCAAGGTCACTCTTTGCTACCAGTTCCATTGGCCAATCAAGCAAAGATTATAGGTAGACACTGACCACCACTCATTTCTAGGACAAACAAGCAATTAGCACCACTTTGGTCTACAATGCCATATCACCTGCAACTTGACTAGCAATGATCAGCATGGATCACTCTAATCATCCTTGAAATACTCAAAACAGCTTAAAACAGATGAATATACATACCATACCATGGTAAAATTTAATGACGTTACATATGGTAAGTTAAAAACATTATCAATTCTGCATTACAAAACAATAAAGAGGTTCAGAAGTATACCGGTGAATCATACGGTTCCTATAGCACTGAAAGCTTCTTAACTAAATGAAACTTTGTAAAGTTGTTGCTAAGTCATAGACATGAAGAGAAAATATTAGCATTACACATGTACTATGCAAGACAAAGCTACAGATAAACGAAAATAAACATGGTAGTACAATAGCTATATCTTACAACACACATAAGAAATAAATAAATATCTTACCTCTATAGCAGGAGATATACAGGTCCCTAAGTATACCGCCAACTGACAAAATGTTCTGCAATGTGTCGATTTTATCTTACTGTGAGGCATTTATACACAGACAATTTAGCTTTACATCATCTGTGCAATTCATGTATTCGCGTTGTCCCATCAAAACCAAACTCAAAGGTCTGGAGTTGACATTTTTATTTTTCATGCAATATGGATTTTAAGAGTAAATGATACATCAATGGACAACAGAATACTATATTACAGTATAAACCAGAAAACTACAGGGGATATGTTGATAATGACAATAAATGTCATCAGTGAATACATGTCATGAAACGTGTTGGAAGGTAAAGAAGCTTGTGGATATCATAAAACTTCGCTGTATTTGATGATAAACAACTCTATCTTCAATTAACTTACTCTGACTCTTAATAATTATTATGATAACCTTGCCATCTGTCTGAATTCCTGTTCAAAACTTGACATGTTATTATAATGTGAATACATAATATGGCAAAAATTGTACTAGTTTTTTTTATCAGTCCCCCTAAATGAATAATTTTATGTCAAGAAAATATAACTAATGTAGAAGCCAATCTACTCACCAAAATTTTTTAAATCCACAGATTCTAGATGTACTGGAACAAAAGAAATTAATGGAAATAAAGTTAAATTACAGAAAAGTAGGAAAATTAATCATAAAAATCAGAGAAATCAGATATTTCATAATGTAATTACTAGGGGTGAAATGATATACCTGTGTTGTGTATTGATATGATTCCTAATACACCGCTTGCGATATGACACAAATCAATAAACATATAAACTTGATGGTCTTTCCATATTTGGAAGGGAGGTGGTGTCCTTTTATGTATGTTTGCATACATGTTGTATTTCCAGTATGCAGATTACAGAATGACAGTTATATGCAATTCTTATTGATGACATTATTAGATAACAAAAAAAGCTTCATGTACCTATATTCGTTAGTGAAGAAGAAAAACTATTGACAACACCGAGTCTCATCACGTAATTTTTAAAACTTACACAAGATTATTAACCTGTGCGGTATGAGATCTGCTCCATTCACTGATTCTTTATTCCAACGGCATGTTAATTGGGAAAGAAATAAGGGCAAGTGGAAGAAGGAGAGAAAGAAATGGCCACAGTTCAATATTTACCTAACACTTTGATATCTCTTTCTTCCTGCTTAACTTTCGTAGAGCCCTACTGAAATCAACAATTTTGAAAGAAGTCACCTCTTTTTGTATATGCATGGATCTGTTGATTATTTATAAGCATACTCTGTTCCTTATCCATGCTTTCTTTTCAAGAGGCATTATCCATAGCAAGCTTTGCCCACTTGGCTATCATAGGAAACAAATCTTTATGGCAGTTATGTACATTTTCCAGAGCTCGCATAAATTTTCTTTTGGATACATCTTCTCCAAATCAGTAATTTTCACTAATATAAATATTACTAACTACTGTCCCTGATTTCTCATCTGTTCCATAATGCTGTATGATTTTTAGTCCATGAAAAGCTAGTGCAGACAGATGTATTCAAATAAATATATTTACTTCTTAATTTTATTTCCACCCTTAATTATTCAGTTTATCTTAACCCTGATATGGATATATGGTTTTAGCATATGATGAACTGGGATAAATTGACTGATAAAAGAATGAAAATTGTTTTAAGCTGTCTGCATTTTAATTTGGTTCAGTGTTCTGCCCTTTCTCTGTTTAGTTTTGAAAAACCACTGAAAAGGAGATTGTCATGCCATCTATTTTTGTCCATCCAACACATACATCTCACTCCAATTTAACACCATATTCTGGCACAAAATCACTCACTGTTATCTCCCCTTTCCCAACTACAATAATCTAATATACTTCATAACTTATAATTATTTTCAACATCACTACCATCAGCCAATATTTACAGAAGGAAATTGTAATGAACCACGCTGGGAACCAGACATTTTGGGTTTTATATGTAGCCCTTTATTTAGACATGCATTTGTAAAACTTCTTTCATGGAAAGTTCAAACTATGCCAGTATACTACTTATTCCTGGGCTCCATGTGCCAATCAAATTTAGTTTAAGAACCATCCATGACATGCTTGAAGAACCAAAATGTGTAAACAGTTACCCACCCGAAAAGCAGATGTTGCGATAAGAATGGTTAAATAAAAATTATATATTTTACCAAGCACATTTTCATATGCGGGGCTTTCAACTAATTCGTGGGATTCATCGCACATCCTGTTACTCAGATTCATGAATTCTTAAAAATTTTGCATGATGCATGCAATTACACATCAGGGGTCAATCAAGACTTAAATTTTAAGAAGTGACTTCTCCTTTTGGTCAGAACAGGGAGAAGTGAGAGCTAAATAGGGAGAAGTGGGACCTAAACAGGTAGAAAATGAGACCAAAGCAAGAAACATGATTGATAGATAGATAAGATAGATAGCTGCTACATATCAATTAATGACTTCTGTTTGAACTTTCTCTGCTGATTTGCAATACTAAATCTTCCTGTTTGTCAAAAAGGGAATAAGCTACATTAATTTATAATCAGTGGTTATTGTTTAACCTGAACCAGACCAAGTCATAACCACCATCGAGAATTCAGTTTAACATATTTAACCATGTGACACTATGGTAGTGTAGCTTTCAAATCAACCAAAGTAGAAATTATATAATACAATGCTTGCTTAAGATAAATAGCGAGGGGGGGTATACAGACCATGTCACTTTCTATCAAAATTTATAGACGGTGAATAAATATTCTCAAGAG